CTCACAGAGATCCACCTGCCTCTGCTTCCCCAGTGCTGGGATCAAAGGTGTGCACCACCACTGTCCGGCATACAACAAAAATTTTAAAAAGGGAGAAAAATAAAGAAATTATGGCCCAGGTGAGGGAATCATTACTGTGGTCTCCTAGAGTTAGTAAATGAGAGAACTGGAATTTGTCCTTGAATATGTTTGATTTAAAGCACCTGTAGGCCAGCTAGATGGCTCATTAAGTGAAGGAGCTTGTTGCACAAACCTAGCAACCTAAGTTCAATTCCCGGATGCCATGTGAAGGAGGAATGAAAGAACCAGTCCCACCAAGTTGTCCTCTGACCCTGCCTCTCATACACAATATTAATAATATTTAAAATGAAAGCACTCGCTGGGCGGTGGTGGTGCACGCCTTTGATCCCAACACTCGAGAGGCAGAGGCCGAGGCTCTCTGTGAGTTCGAGACCAACCTGATCTACAAGAGCTAATTCCAGAACAGGATCCAAAGCCACAGAGAAACCCTGTCTCGGAAAACAACAATAACAAAAAATGAAAGCACTCACTCTTACCATAATGCACATAGTTCTGTACTTAGAATGTATTAGGCACCACTGGGGTTGCAGCTAATAATTTTTATTATGTGTTAAACTTCGAATATTGTATGTGGCAGATGCTGTTCTAAAAGCTGTGCTCATGAGTGTACATAGTCTTCACCAAAAGCATGTTTCTTCTCTCCATTTTACAGATGAAGAAACCGAGATTCAGAGAGGTTCAGACTCGTGCCCAAGGTCACACAGCTAGTAAGTGTCATAGCTGGAATTCAAACTAAGAGTGTGTGTTTGACATCCTTGGTCCTAAATTCCAGCCAACAGTGATTCCAGAATATCTGGTGGGCTGGGAGGTCATGGGCAATTGGGGAGCTCCTAGAAGCTTGACAGGTGGGAGGGTAGAAGACTTCAGAATAACAGCAGGGGTGATTTGCCAATTACTATGGGAATTTTGTAATCAGATCTGGGTATTTTGGCCCAGATCTGTAATCCTAGCATTTAAAAGGCAGACACAGGAGGATACTGAATTCAAAGCCAACCAGGGATACAGTGATACTTTGTCTCAGAAGAAGAAAGGCCAGGTGGTGTCCCAGGCCTTTAATCCTAGCTCTCCCGAGGCAGAGGCAGGCTGATCTGTGTGAGTTTGATGCTAACCTGGTTTACAGAGTGAGTTCAGGTCAGCCCAGGCTATATAGTGAGACCTTGTCTCAAAAAAAAAAAAGAAGAAAGAAAGAAAGAGAAAGAAAGAAAGAAAGAAAGAAAGAAAGAAAGAAAGAAAGAAAGAAAGGAAAGAAGGAAAAGATGGCCGTTGGTGCCAGCTGTTTTGAAGTCTGTTGTCCAGAGCTCGTTCACTGGGAGTTAAAGGATCCAAATTGACTTTCAGCAGCACATCCCTGGGTTGCAGGGGTGGGGACCAAGCCATAATAGTTGACTATTTTCCTCCCCTCCAGGTCTCAACTCCTGCTTCTCCTGCCTCCCCGCTGCACCATGGCTCCAGGCCCCTTCTCCTCTGGGCTCTTCTCGCCACCACCTGCTGCTCTCCCTTTTTTGCTGCTGCTCTGGGCAGGGGCATCTCGCGGCCAACCCTGCCCTGGTCGCTGCATCTGCCAGAACGTGGCACCTACGCTGACCATGCTGTGTGCCAAGACCGGCCTGCTCTTCGTGCCGCCCGCCATCGACAGGCGTGTGGTCGAGCTGCGGCTCACCGACAACTTCATTGCCGCTGTGCGTCGTCGAGACTTCGCCAACATGACCAGCCTGGTCCACCTCACCCTGTCTCGCAACACTATTGGTCAGGTGGCACCCGGCGCCTTTGCTGACCTCCGTGCTCTCCGGGCCCTGCACCTCGATAGCAACCGCCTGGCAGAGGTGCGTGGGGACCAGCTCCGGGGCTTGGGTAACCTCCGCCACTTGATCCTCGGCAACAATCAGATCCGGAAGGTGGAGTCGGCAGCTTTTGACGCCTTTCTGTCCACTGTGGAGGACCTGGATCTGTCCTACAACAACCTGGAGGCACTGCCGTGGGAGGCGGTGGGTCAGATGGTCAATCTGAACACCCTCACGCTCGACCACAACCTCATTGATCACATTGCCGAGGGCACCTTCGTGCAGCTGCATAAACTTGTACGCTTAGACATGACCTCTAACCGTCTGCATAAACTGCCCCCCGACGGGCTCTTCCTGAGGTCCCAGGGTGGGGGGCCCAAGCCGCCCACCCCCCTGACCGTCAGCTTTGGTGGCAATCCGCTGCACTGCAACTGCGAGCTGCTCTGGCTACGGCGTCTGACCAGGGAGGATGACTTGGAGACATGCGCCACTCCTGAGCATCTCACTGACCGCTACTTCTGGTCCATCCCGGAGGAGGAATTTCTATGTGAGCCCCCGCTCATCACGCGGCAGGCAGGGGGCAAGGCCCTGGTAGTGGAGGGCCAGGCTGTCAGTCTGCGCTGCCGGGCGGTGGGTGACCCTGAGCCCGTGGTGCACTGGGTGGCACCTGATGGGCGGCTGCTGGGGAACTCCAGCCGGACCCGGGTCCGTGGGGACGGAACGCTGGATGTGACCATCACCACCCTAAGGGACAGCGGTACCTTCACCTGCATAGCCTCCAATGCTGCGGGGGAAGCCACTGCACCGGTGGAGGTTTGCGTGGTACCTCTGCCACTCATGGCGCCCCCGCCGGCTGCTCCGCCGCCTCTCACTGAGCCTGGTTCTTCCGACATCGCCACACCAGGCAGACCTGGTGCCAACGACTCAGCCACTGAACGCCGGCTTGTGGCTGCCGAACTCACGTCCAGCTCTGTGCTCATTCGCTGGCCGGCCCAGAGGCCAGTGCCTGGCATCCGCATGTACCAAGTGCAATACAACAGCTCTGCGGATGACTCTCTAGTCTACAGGTGAGTGCGCTACTGAAGCCCCAGGAACTCCTCTCCAGCCCTAGCATCCTGCCCTCTGTCCCATCTGCTCGTCCATCCCCTTGACCTTGCTTAGATGCGGCTTTGGATAGGCCTGTGGATACCTCCTTCTTTTCTGCTCTGCTGTGTTTTTCTTGAGCTTAGAAGTTTGTGCAACACAACATGAGCCAGTGAAGGGCTGGGCAATGGAGTTATAAAACTGAGTAGGGCCTGGTGCTTCAGGCTTGAGATCCTAGCCTTTGGGAAGCCGAGGCAGGAGGATTGCAAGGACAAGGCTGGCCTGGACAGTTTGGAGACACTCTGTCTCAAAATTTAGAAAGTGGAAAAAAGAGGGCTGGAGGTGGATCCCAGTTATAGTAAGATAGAGCCCCTGCCTATAACCCTCCAGTGAGGAGCTGGGGGCATGGCTCAGTGGTAGTGCCCCTGCCTAGAATTCCCCAGTGAGGGGGGCGTGGCTCTGTGGTAGAGTCCCTGCCTAGAATCCCCCAGTGAGGGGCTGGGGGGCGTGGCTCTGTGGTAGAGTCCCTGCCTAGAATCCCCCAGTGAGGGGCTGGGGGGCGTGGCTCTGTGGTAGAGTCCCTGCCTAGAATCCCCCAGTGAGGGGCTGGGGGGCGTGGCTCTGTGGTAGAGTACTTGCTAAGCTGAGGGAGGCACTGAGTTCCATTCCCAGTCCCAAACAACAAATACCCCACAGGGTTCATGGTTAAACGCATCACTTGCACTCCAGAGGCCTCTGTTCATGAATCCCATCAATTAAACATTGTGGCACATAAAACACATGTGTTTATAGTTACATTTCTATTTATGTCAATACTACTATTCCAATTGGATAGATTATAGAAACAAAGCAAAAAAGCATGGGAAAAATAGAAATGTAATGTTCTAGTTTGATTTCTATCACTGTGATAAACACTGTGACCAAGCCATGCCACGCCTTTAATCCCAGCACTTAGGAGGCAGAGGCAGGTAGATGCCTGAGTTTGAGGCCAGCCTGGTCTATGGAGGGAGTTTCAGACCCAGCCAGAGTTACACAGAGAAACTTTGTCCCAAAGCAAGAACAGCAAAACAAAACAAAAAACACTATGACCACCAAAACCAAAACCAAACAAAAAGCCCCACTCTGACCAAAAGCAATTTGGGGAGGAAAGGGTTTATTTTATACCTCTAAGGTCACAGACCATCAATGAAGGAAGTCAGATAAGGAATTCAAGGCAGGAACCAGGATGAAGGGACTGAAACAGAGGCCATGGAATAGTGTTGCTTCCTGGCTTCCTCTCCATGGTGTGTTTTGTCTGCTTTCTTACATAACTCAGGACCACCTGCCCAAGGGTGTCCCCACCCACACTGAGCTGGGCCCTCCCATTCCATGTCAATCATTAGTCAAGCAAATGGACCTACAGACTTCCCTATAGGCCAGTCTGATGGAAGCATTTTCTCAGTTGAGGTTCCCAGATGACCCTAGTTGACAAAAACACTAATCAGTATCTGTAAGTTATTTCCGCCCCGGTCTTAGGGTGAACAGGCCTGCAGTGTAGATAGATAGCCGTCAGCTGCTTTGCCTTGCCTTGTCCAGGCCGGGTTTGTTGCCTGTTTCTCTCTCATCCGTCTCTCCTTTCTCTCCATCCAGCCCTCATTAGGCACTTAGACTTCCCTGTACAGGGCCCTGACTTGGGCGTGGCTGCAGGTTATAGAGAAGAAAAGAGAAGGATAAGATGGAAATACACAGAAAGTCACTTATTTATTATTTATTACTATTTGAAACAGTATTTCTTTGTGTAGCCCTGGCTGTCCTGGAACTCGCTATGTAGACCAGGCTTGCCTGGAACTCACAGAGATCAGCCTGTGTCTGCCTCCTGAGTGCTGGGATTACAGGCGTGCACCACCACTGCCCTGTCCTCAAATGAGAATTTATAAGGAAATAATTACCTACCTCACATCCATCCTTATCTGGGAAATAGTAGGTATTCAATGTGTGTGTTTCCTGGATACAAAGGACTGCTGAGAGGCAGATGGGGCACGTGTCTGTGATCCAGGCACTTGAGGATCTTCAGGCCAAGGTCAGTCCGGTTATGTAGTGGCTTTGAGGTCTGTCTGAGCTATATAGTGAGATTTTATCCCAGCAAACAAAACAAAACAAAACAAAACAAAAAAAAGAGGCAGCTTAGCTGCTTCCAAAGTGACCATTGGTACCCGGGACCTGAGGAGTTCAGTGGTTAGGGGGGCCCTTTGTAAATCAATGCCTGAGTCCTGTGGTCTCCAACCTGGTAGTTTGTCAGTGTGGCTCTCAGCCACAGACCCTGGCATACGGCAGAGATGACCCACAGTGGGCACTTGATAAATGGCTATTGGCTACATAGACACATGTTGTATTTGCCTTCGTTGTGCATTGCAGAGTGGCCTACAATGAGTGCCTAGCCCCACGCTTCACTTCCTTTGGGTTACCAGTGGGTCTAGAACCCCATTCTTGGTCACCCCAACAACTTGAGTGTGCTCAGCCCTTCACAAAAAAGCCAGTCTCCTGGCCTCCATCTCTGCTTGCCAGGGGCCGCTCTTTCCTCTGGGCTCTGCTTTTCTTTTGGTTTTGAGATAGGCTCTTGTCCTGGTAGCCTAGGTTAGCCTTCGACTATGGAGTCCCGGGCTGGCATGGAACTCAGGATGTTCTGAGATTTCAGGGACTATGCCAAGTGTACAATTCTTCCTTTTGCTTCTGATTGTCACACACTGATGACGTGGTTGACTCTGTGTCAGATACCCTCCCTAGATGGATTAGACTGACCTATTCTTACAAGCAGTCAGCAAACCAAGGCAGCAAACAGAAGCCTTCATAAACCATGTCCAAAGCTATGGCACTTTTTATTTCCAACTCTGCTATGTAGCAGTGACCATCTACCGTCATTTATTTCATTTAAAAAATTTTTTTTACTTATGTGTGGGTGCCACTTAATTTTTTTTTTTTTTTTTTTTTTTTTTTTTTTTTTTTTTTTAGCAGGGGTGGTGGTGGTGGTTTTAGACAGGGTTTCTCTGTGTAGCTTTGGAGGCTGTCCTGGAACTCGCTCTTTGTAGACCAGGCTGGCCTCGAACTCACAGAGATCCTCCTGTCTCTGCCTCCTGAGTGCTGGGACTAAAGGCCACCACCGCCTGGCATCATTTAACATTGTTAAAATTACATTTATCTGTGTGTGGGGGGGGAGGGCATTCGAGCCGTAGCATGCATACAGTGATCAGAAGACATCTTGTGTAAATCAGTTCTGTCCTCCCACCATGTGAATCTTGGGGATGGAACTCTGGTTGTTAGGTTTGGTGGCAAGCTCCCTTACCCACAGAGCCATCTTGCCAGCCCTTTATTTTTATTCATTCATTTCTTTGTGGTACTGTTGATGGAACACAGGGCCTCATACATGCTAGACAATCACTCTATAATGCTTCTAGCTCCTCACTGGGGGATTCTAGGCAGGGGCTCCACCACAGCCCCTCATTGGGGGATTCTAGGCAGGGGCTCTACCACTGAGCCACACACCCAGCCCCTCACTGGGGGATTCTAGGCAGGGGCTCTACCACTGAGCCACACCCCCAGCCCCTTACTGGGGAATTCTAGGCAGGGGCTCTACCACACCCTCCATTCTCTTTCTTTTCAGACACGGAACCTAGGGCTCTGTGGGAGAGATCATTTGCTCTCAGACGCAGAAAGGAGCAGAGCTATTTTTCATATGCTTGAATGCACACTTATTGAATACCTAGTGTTTGCCAGGCAGGGATGGAGGGGAGATGGATGATGCATTTCTGTCAATCAGATTTGTGATTTTTTTTTTTCCATCTCTATTCACTGCTCCTCTCTGATCCACAGCCACCGTGTGACAGGGTGGGGAAAGTTCCAGACCCAGCATGTAAACACATCTTCATGGCCCCCAGCTGGGCAAGTTCCCAGGACTCTTCTCTCCAGAGGGCCCCTTTCTAGCCTGCATTCTCCATTGCAGACGCTTGTACATAGGACAGCACTGTAGGGGTTAACTTCCTCTCTGCAGCCATGGGCTGAGGTGACATCCAACGAGAAGCCGGCTAGGCTGCTTGCTCTGGCCCAGCAGCCAATGAGAGACTCCTGGGCTCACGCTTTCTTAAGGAGCCAGTGACTGTCCTTGAAAAGGGGGAGCCCCTAGCAACTGGTTATTTGGGGAGAAAAAGCAGGAGAATCCAAGGCTCTAGCAGAGGAAAAGAGAAAGTTAATTTAGAAAGGGGTCAGGGCAGCTGGAGGTGGGTGGCCTAGGAAAAACAAAGAGTCTAATGAGAAACTAAAGAGCATTTTTGAGACCGTGAGGCTTATGCTTGAAGTCTTGGGGTGGAGGGTGGTGCCTGGTGACCTTGGTGGGGGTCTCAGGAGCAGGGCTGGCAGGCCTGTGGAGCTCTGACAGGTAAGCATGGCTGGGGATGAGGCATGGCTTTTTAGAAGGGGTGGGGCTTGTTCTGCATGGTCTTAAGCAGAGGAAGAGGCGGGGCTCATCCCTGGTAAGCCACTAAGGTCCTTGGCAGGAGAGAAGAGTTTGTGAGGTTGGGTGCTGGGCATGCCAGTCAGGGTGCACTCCATACTCCTGAGTTCCCTGATGGTGGAAGTAGCCAAAACAGACTGTTTCAAAATATGCTCATGAAAAGAGAACACATTCTGGGAGGGAATGTCCCTAAGATGGACGGTAGGGGAACATAGAGGATCAGCTGGTGAGATGGCTTAGTGGGTCAAGGGACTTTTCTACCAAGACTAATGGCCCGAGTTCAATTCCTAGGGCACACATGGTGGTAGGAGAGAACAGACTCCTGCAAGCTGTCCTCTGACCTCCTCCTTACACACACACACACACACACAGCAGTAAAGGTAAGTTAGAAGAAGTCAGGTCTGTTAAGGATAGTATTGCTGTAGACTAAACATATTTTTAAAAAGAGAGATGTAGAAGGCAGCAGGTAGCCTTGGAATAGGAGCCCACAAGAGCTGCTAGGAACACTTGGCGGGATGTTAGCTCATAGTGAGATCCTTAACCTTAGATAATTCAGGTTTTAGAAATATCACCTCATTCGTTCTCATGCTATCTCTAGGATGTGGGGATTCTTACTGTCACTATTAGAGGGAAATGATGCACAGAGAAGTTAAGAAACTTGTGTGCGGTCACAGAGGGCAGAGAAGAGATCCTATCCCAGAGTTGTGGCTCCCGGGTGTTTAACTGAAGGGTTTTGCTGTACTATGTACCTGCCTCATTTGAGAAAAATGAAACCAGTGCTTGTCTACATTTTAGTCGACTGTAGATGAGATTTGGGGAGTGTGGGTCAGTGAATTGATCTTTGGAATTCTGGTGCTGCGATGGTCAGCATACATCCATATAACAGTTGGTTGCCTCTAGAGGGGGCTGTCTCCCGGTCCCTCAAAGGGAAATGGCTTGTAAGCCAGAGTGCAATTAGAAGGGGAGCAAGTGAGAAGCTGAGGTGCTTGGGAAACTGAGCCAGGAGCTAGAGATTTTACCCAAAGGTGGGGCATGCCCTGCAGCGTGCCTCCTCTGTCAAAGGCAAGAATTCGTGCATGCCAAGTGGGATTATGGCTGGCAACGTAGCTCAACCGGTAGAGTGCTTGAAGAAGGACCTGGGTGTAGTCCTCCCACCACAGAAACAAAAGCAAACAAACCAGTAGGACATGGTGGCGCACGCACGTCTGCAAGCCTGAAATCCCAGCGTTCAGGAGGTGGAGGCAGGATGAAAACCAGGGGCTGGAAGTTAGCCATTGCCCTTGCGGGGATAAAACAATTGTTGACTTCGGTATCCATCTAAAATAAGGAAGAACTTGTAGGTTAGGGGGAGTGGCCATAGCACTGAGCTCCTTAAATGGTAGATAATACGCAGGTGACAATTGTCCAAGGTATGAGTAGAGACAGTCCCAGGAGGTGATGACAAGGTAAGTAAGTAGGTCTGGAGGCGGGGCGTGTAGATGAGGGAGCATGGTCTTGAGCCTCGAGCCAGAAAGGCTGCTGACAAATCTATTAATTGACGAGGGCCTTGAATGGCTGCTGAAGGCACCAGTAGCATGGCGAAGGGGTGTGGTTAAGAGCGGGGCTAACTCCGTCCTGGTCCCATTCCTTTCCGCAGGATGATCCCTTCCACCAGCCAGACTTTCCTGGTGAACGATCTGGCTGCTGGCCGCGCCTATGACTTGTGTGTGCTGGCAGTCTACGACGACGGGGCCACCGCTCTGCCGGCCACCAGAGTGGTGGGCTGTGTGCAGTTCACCACGGCGGGGGATCCCGCGCCATGTCGCCCGCTGAGGGCCCACTTCTTGGGCGGCACCATGATCATCGCCATCGGGGGCGTCATCGTAGCCTCGGTCCTGGTGTTCATCGTGCTGCTCATGATTCGCTACAAGGTGTA